GGGGCCGGCGGAGGGGGCCCGGCGGAGGCGGGAGCCCGGCCGTGAGGAACCCCAGCCCCGCTGCGTTCTCGGGCGAGGCGGCCCCGGGCCGTGCGTGTGCGGCTCCCGCGACCCCGGCGAGTTCGTTCTCCCGAGCGGGTGCTGGCTGGATCGTAAGATGCTTTTTGCAAAGGCCGGCGGGGCCGAGGGCCGGCGCTGCAGCGGGAGGGGCCGTTGGGTTTCTCCGGGCTGAACCGCTGCCTCTGTCCTCCACCACCGGCTGACCTTCCCCTCCAACCGTAATCCCCATAGTTAAAGCACGGTTACTACATTTCCTTTAAATTCTCAAGTATTTATAATTCTCCATGCTATATCATTTATCTAATGTACAATGTATCTACTTACCTTTTACCTTCTGTGTTTCCTGGAATCCAAGAGCCACGTGTTGTCATAATTTGACCATTGGCCACTATTAGCCATGAGGGTAATATTAGCAAACATCAGTTCTAAAAGGAAACTTTCAATTCTTTTTCATTAATTGAAAAATAATTCCATATCCTCAAAAGTTGGGTTTGTTTTAGTTGTGTTAGCATCACATCAGAACAAAGATCTCTTCTACAAAATTGGACTTAAAAAGCATCGCTCTGCACTTTTTGAGGGAGGAGATGGGCTGCAGCGCCATTAAAATGGGCGTTGTGTGTAGCAAAGTGCTTTGAAAATTGTAGAAGCCTAACTCAGATTGGTGTTAGGCAGATTTATATCAGTGTAATTTTCAGTTCTAAGGAATTATGGAGACAGGACTAATGAATGAATGGAATGATGGCATAAGGGGGAGTCTTCAGCCAGGAAAAAAGAGGGATGTCAGGAGCTGCACAGAGCAGGGAACAGTCGCTCCCTGTTTCTTCTAATGCAAGAACAGCCATCATATTAAATGAGGTGAGGAAGGCTCAAAATAAAAGCCCTTGTTTTCTCGTGCCACATAATCAAGCTGAGGAACTCTGCCACAGAACATTATGGGAGCCAAATTCAAGGGTTGAGATAACCTGATGGAAGAAAGATCACAAAGACTTACTTGATGCTTTCTAGTGGGACTGCTGGTTGCTGCTTCTAAACTTGTCCCAGCAGATCTGCTGGAAATGAAGGTATAAGAGCTGATTCTGTGAAGACACAATAGAAACAAACCACACACAATAAGAGATCAGTGTAAGAAAGGAGTTTCAGCATTTGTCCTGTTTTGCATATGCACTGAAGCTTTTAATATCTGTATATTACTGTTGTATTCAAATTAGCTGTTAAAGACCACTTGCCTCATTTCAAAGAGGAAGCATTAAATAACAAAACAAAGTTGTTTTTTGAGGGGTGTTTTGTTAATATTATGAATTATTCTTACTTTAGTTAACCCAGTCCAAGGCTTCCAGTGGGGCCTGAGTCACATTTATCTGGAAAGTCGGTCACCATCGCAAAAGGCTTCCCATTTCAGTCTGGGAAGGCTTATGTCTAACTAAAAGTGATTTTGCTGTTTCTGCAAAAAGGAGACATATTCTCTTGAAACTCAGATTTTCCTGAGCCTATCAGATATTCAGATTATAGACTGCAGTCTTGTCATCTTGCCTGTTAACCTCAATAAATAGTAATGTGGAAAGAACAGAGAAAAGACAAAATCAAGGTGCTCTCTATAGCTTCGGGTGTGGGGCAGGAAGATTATTTTCTCCTGTTTATCGTACAGAATGAAGATAGGAAAATCAGACACTTAACTTTTTTACTAGCTGTTCCATTTAGCTATTGCCATTACTGTCATGGCAATGAGTTTTGGTTTTCACTTTTACTATGGAAGCAGTTTGTACAATTTGTAAAGAAAGAGATGTAGGGCTAGAAGGCTTTCTTTGTTTGCTTGCTTCCAAAAAACCCAAATTGCTTTAATTGTGATTAAACCAGTAATACAATAATAAGTTATAAGAAGAGCCTGGCTCTACTTTCCCTGCAACGTCCCACTGAGAAATTGCAGACAGCAAAAAGATCTCTCCCTTTTCCTTCCTTTTTAAGACTGAACAAATCCCGCTCTTTTGGTCTCTCCCCATCTTCCATCTGCTCTCCATCCTCCACCTGCTCCAACTTTCAATCATCTTGGTGGCCCTTGGCTGGAATTGCTTGAGGATGTCAGTATAATGTACTGGGGAGCTTAGCACTACTGGTTTCACTCTGTGCCTTGGTAATACTTCTCTGAAGTCAGAAAATAATTAACGTAATTGCTAAAAATGAGTGCAGTGCTTTTTTGTTCTGGCTTGTCATTACTGAAGAACATAGTTGACATAAGCTCTAGAAAATATCAAATAATCCCTAAATCCAAATACAGAATTTTCTGTCCATTGTTTTTGGACATTGGATTTCCCCATGAAATTTTGTGTGTACTATTGGCCCCACGTCTGCCATAAGGGGCTGGGGCAAAACAATCAACCATTTCAGGCCAAGGTGATTTTTTTAAAATTGCTAATAAAGGATAGCTCCGGATCCAGTGTTATGGCCATGTTTATGCTGTTGTTAAAATGGAATTGCATAATGTTTCTGAACAGGGCATGTAAATAAATAAATAAATAAATACATAAATGCATTAAATAATGGAATATAAATTTAATTTATCAATTAATTAATAAATAAAAGAGTGCTTCTTGCAAATCAAGAAACCGTATTCCTGTGGAGATGCTGGTGATGCAGGACCTTGATTTGGCAAGATAAGGTCATCAACCATTTGAAATACTTAGTGTGTGAAATTCACACACTAAGGAAAAGTCAAGCCTTAGGAGTGTAAAATGTTTCCCATGTGGGAAAATATAAATGAAAGGAAGTAGTATTTTTATTCTGGGGAAGCTTTGATCCCACAATCATTGAATTAAGAACACAGTAGTGCTGTACAGATCTCCAGGCAGATGTGCTCGGCCCCATGGGGGCACAGCCACCACAAGGGTATGAGCTTGTTCCTGACTGCGTTGTCTCCTCTGCAGATGTCTCCCCGGTTGTGGCAGGTCTCATTGGTGCTACTGTCCTTGTGGTTTCTGTCTCAGTAACAGTTTTTGTGTGGACATGCTGTCACCAGCAAGCAGAAAAGAAGCACAAAACCCCACCGTATAAATTCATTCATATGTTGAAAGGCATCAGTATCTATCCGGAGACCTTGAGTAACAAGAAGAAAATTAACCGAATCCGGAGAGACAAGAATGGCACTCCTAAGGAGACTGCAAGGGGAAACCTCCTGGTGGATGCTGCTGAATCTGGTTTAATAGGCTCCAATAAGGCTCCAGATGGGCCAAATGCAGTCCCCCATGTTGATCAGCTCCCAATAAAAGTAGATTACGGAGATGAACTCAGTCCAGATCAAAGCCTCACTCCAGGCGGAAGTAAAACTTCCTCCCCATCTTCTCCAGGGGATGACATCATGTTGGGTGAACTGACTTTCTCAGTGGACTACAACTTCCCTAAAAAAGCGCTGGTAGTTACCATTCAGGAGGCTCACGGACTGCCAGTGATGGATGAACACACTCAGAGCTCTGACCCTTACATCAAGATGACAATTCTTCCAGATAAAAGGCATCGAGTGAAGACTCGTGTACTTCGCAAGACACTAGACCCAGTCTTTGATGAAACCTTCACCTTCTATGGGATCCCATATAGCCAGCTCCAGGATTTGGTGCTTCACTTCCTCGTGTTGAGCTTTGATCGCTTCTCTCGAGATGATGTTATTGGAGAGGTCATGGTGCCCCTTGCAGGGGTGGATCCAAGCACTGGAAAGGTTCAGCTGACCAGGGAGATCCTCAAAAGGAACATACAAGTAAGTCGCTTTGTGTAGTATGACACAAGACTCCTTGCATTGTATTTGATCCCGGTTCTTTTCACAGAATCACAGAATCACATGAGGTTGGAAGGGACCTCTGGAGATCATCCAGTCCAGCCCCCTGTCAAAGCAGGTCCACCCAGAGCAGGTTGCACAGGAACTTGTCCAGTTGGGTTTTGAATGTCTCCAGAGAAGGAGACTCCACCACCTCCCTGGGCAGCCTCTTCCAGGGCTCTGCCACCCTCAAAGTAAAGAAGTTCCTCCTCATGTTTAGGTGGAACTTATTATATTCAAGTTTGTGCCCATTTCCTCTTGTCCTGTCCCTGGGCACCACTGAAAAAAGACCAGCCCTGTCCTCTTGACACCCAGCCTTTAAGTATTTATAGGCGTTGATCAGACCCCCTCCTCAGTCTTCTCCAGACTAAAAAGACCCAGGTCCCTGAGCCTCTCCTCATATGGGCCCTCCAGGCCCCTCATCATATTTGTAGCCCTCTGCTCTACCCCCTCCAACAGTTCCCTGTCCTTCTAGAACTGGGGAGCCCAGAACTGGTCCCAGTGCTCCAGATGGGGCCTCCCCAGGGCAGGTCTGGGACATTTTGATCTGGGAGCCTTCATAGTTCTAGTAAGCAGGAATGCTGCAAATCTTTAGCCATTAAATCCATTTTTCCATAGTCGCGCGTTGTTGGTATGATGTGGCTGAGCTCTTGGGCAGTTCTCTGCTGTGTGGTTATGGCAGTTTGATTAGGCATGGCCACTATTTAGGCATAGAAATTATAGATGTTATAACTCATGATGCCAAGAAAAATGGCAAAGTCCTCACCTCCAAGTAAAAGAGCTGATGCGGTAACATGATATTCATCTGCAAAAACAAACCTCACTTAAAGAGGGAGATTTGTCTGGGCTGACCATTTTAGACACCTATAATTGTAATTACCTACATCTGAATTGTTGCTGTAAGCTGTAAGTCAGTGGGAATACGTCAGCATAGCCAGCAGAGTCTGACGTGATTCCTTCTGTCCTGAAGCAGATGTCTAAATCAGCTCAGCTGCACCTAGATGACTCTATTTTTTTCTCACTTGAGAACTAAGTATGTCTAAGGCGGTTTTGTCAAATGTAGACACGTAAAATTTAAGTAGTGCAAATCCCACTCATAGTGTCTGGCTGTAAAGTAGAAAGATGAGGAATCCATACGTGCTGCCAAGCCTTCTGGGGAAGGTGTCTTCTGTCCTCGGGAAACACACCGCATGCAGGTAGGAGGATGAGGCAGTACTCAGGATTTTTTTATTCTTGCTTGGTTTATTGTTGGTCCCCATCCTCCAAGTTGAATAGAAAAAGGCATTTGCGCTCCCTTGTTGCCTTAAGGTATTGGGAATTGTTGCTGGGGTCTATAAAATACTTGATTATGTCCTAGAGTAGCAGTATTTTATTTGAAAAGTTTACTATATGGGGCATTTAACTTTTTTTTTCCCCCTAAGTTATTTAAAGGGGACTCTGTGTCAATGACCCAAAACAAACCAAAAGAATACCAACAAAACCAGAGTTCTGGTAACTGCTTTGCTTTTCTTAGGTTCTTGGGATGCTTTATGTTATGATAAAACAAGTGGCTGGCTTAGGTTCTTTTAATAGTATTCTTTTCATTGGGCATGTCTCTTAGAAGTAACAGATTAAAAATAGAGGAAGAAGTCCAGCTAAATAAAAATAGATTTAATCAAGGATGCAAATATGTTAACATTTGTTAGTAATCAAAACTAGACTTACCTTGGTGTCGAGTGTGCATTCTTGAAAATCTGCACGGGTCCAGGATGTCAGAACAGCCATTGCAGAATCACAGAATTGTCAGAGTTGGAAGGGACCTCTAGAGATGATCTGCTCCAACTCCCCAGCTAAAGCAGGATTGCCCAGAGCACATTCCTCAGCACAAAGTTTTCAGTGTTAGGAGGTTTCACCATCCGGAATTCAGAATTGCATTTAAAACCCAGTAAATGACTGCAGAGGGGTACATCCCATCCTATTGAACATTGCCAACACATTCTAACATGCAATCTAAGAATGCAGATTACATTACTTCAGACCAAAAGAACTCCAAAATTCTAACAACGTACCCCCCAGCCCCATACTCTCACTGGCTGTTGTGTTCTGGTGTATCCAAGGAGCCGAAGTTCTGAACATTTTCCTTCCAGGGCCAGGAACTTGCTCATATATTTACTCCCAAAATTTCGCGTGAGCAGCAATAGCCTTCATTCCTTGCATATGGAAAACTTGTCTTAAACACACAGGAACTGCTCAAATAAAAAGAAAACACCAAAATAATTGTGAACACTTGCCATGTTTAAGTTAACATGCACTATTTTTTCCCGCTAAGCTGAATAACAGCAGTTGAAAGAACAGCTTCATCTCTTGCGTGATCAGCAGGGCATTTAGTGTGACATTTACTGTAGTGCTTCACTGCTTCGAAGGGAGAAAAATTCCTTCATTTGGGCCCCCCCAACATCCTTTGCTGGGTTAACAGTCCTGAAGACCTCCAGGGGCAGGAGGAGGGCAAGGTACGGAGAGTCAAAGCCTTCAGCAGCCAGTGGAGCTGGGGCAGTAGCTCTGCTCTCGGTGCGGTGCTGACGCCACACCACTCCATGCCCACTGCTATTGCTGTTTGCCTTGAGAGCAAATAAACATCAGAACTAGTGCCATCTCAATGAAAGTTAATGAGTGCCACCTGGAAACCAAAACTAATTATCTCAATATGTTACTCTTTGAAGGAGATAGAGCAAGAGTAACTGAATAGATCTGGTTTTATCTATTTATCTTCATCCTGTACCTTTGCAGACTAAACTGATGGTGAAACTGTCAGAGCAAACCTAGAGAGCTTGAGGTGCTCAGACATTGAAGCTCCACCAAAAGCCAGTGAAACTGAAGCTGCTAAACCCTGCGCCTGCCTCTTGAGCAGACCTCAAAAGGCAGCCACAGCCACTTTTCTCTTGGAGGATGTCCACCAGATTTGCCTCATGGAAACCTGGAATTCAAGGGGAGAGGCTGCCATGATGCTCACTGTGCTTGACAGGCGTGGGGTGAACAGCACAGGAGGATTTGCCATCTGCCACTCGGTCCTTCTCCCAGAGGCTCCCACTGTCCATGGCACTTCAAATGGCCTGCATTTTATTTTCCAACTTTTTAGGCATTTAGCACAGGGAAAGGAGATTCTGGTGACCTCCAACTTTTGCCCTTGACCATCTTGTTCTAATAAGTTCTTTCTGTTTCTTTTTCACAGAAATGCATTAGCAGAGGGGAGCTGCAGGTCTCCTTGTCTTACCAGCCTGTGGCGCAGAGAATGACCGTTGTGGTGCTGAAAGCCAGACATTTGCCAAAGATGGATATCACTGGCCTCTCAGGTAGAAGCTATTTTCTCCAGCTCTAAATGTGTAGAAAAAAAATCTCCAAGTTCACTTTCAGATCTTTTAACCTGTCTTATCTGAAGATTTTCTTTGTTTCCACACTTTTCCTCAAACTCTCTCGCAGCGAGCCATCACTCCCCAGCAGATGGTTAGACAAACAAGACTAAATCCTTCCTGCTGCGAGACCAACAGTTGCAGCTTTCTGGTGTCACCTGGTTGTTTATGAAGGCAGTATTTTCCAAATTCAGCACATCTCCGTGCTTCTTTTGGCCGGAGCGTGCAGGCTCTATGCCTCCGTGCTGCTCTCACTCATCATTGCCCTGAGCAGCACTTTTTTCATGGCATGACTGCTGCTTGCTGTGTCTGCCTCAAACCCTGCCCCTAGAAGAGGAGGGTAAAAGAGAGGAAGCATAAAAAAGAGGAAGGATAGACTCAGAATAGAGAAAAGTAAATTCATATGACATTAGAAACAATTTAGTTGTTTTTTGTTGTTGTTGGTGGTGGTTTTACTGGTTGTGTTGTTCCATGATTTGAAGAGAAGAGCAGCTGTTCTGGCTTTCCTCTGGGCACAGATTCTCAGACTCCTGAATCCCCTCAGAAAAGTTTCCTTCAGGATTATGGGAAAATGGTTGGAATCAACTTGAGATTCAATAATATCCTGACTGATAGCTAATTTAGTCCTGCTTTTGCAGCTTTCTCCTGTACACCTCAGAAAGAATGCAGGCTAGGCTTAATTATCTATTGTAGGCCTTAAATTTTACTCTCTTTAAAAAAAAAAAAACTTTCTGTATGTGGTCTCCAACTACAGGATAAATTTTGCAGTATCAGCTTCTGCCTGGTGAATCTTGCAAGGCTAACATCATTTCTTGATGTTATCTTGACATTATGCACAAGATCATAATTTCAGTTGGATAGCAAAAGTCAAAATCAGGCAGTGCCAGCTGGGCAAGTGACTTCCAGCTTCAAAAGTTGTGTTAGATGAAAAAAAAGCACTGTGTGTCTGGTAGCTTAATTTTAACCTTTAAGAAGCATCCGCATAAAGAGTGAGCTGACTTATAAAGTAATAGAATGAGGCTGATGGAAAAATGAAAGCTTTGTTTTAAACCTTTCTTTTTCAGTAGCTTCCACTATAAATGTTCTCCTGCAAATTCTTAGAACCATTTTAACACTTTGTTGGGCTATTTCATGAAATAGAGTGAAAATATTTCTTGTTATAGATGACAGTGAAAAGTGAAAGTTTTGGCCAGTTGGGCACTGACCTCAGCAAAAACCCACCTCTTTGGTATTTCCAGGATTAATTACTGCAATTTATGCACTGCTTGCTTCCCCCCAGTCCTGATGCAGTGTTGAAACTCACGATGAACTCCCGCTGCTGACATCAGCTGGTTGCTTTGCAATGAGAAATGATGCCCACAGAGCCCCTGTCCCTGGGGAGCTGGAGGGAGCTGTCGAGATTCACACCCTTTACTTGAGCTGGCTCAAGTTCAGCCAGCGGAACCCTGTCCGTTACTGCCAGGAGCCTTACTGGGCTGTGTTATTAGTTTCTCTCTCTCTCTTCTTCAGCAGATCCGTACGTTAAGGTGAATGTTTATTACGGAAGAAAGCGCATAGCGAAAAAGAAGACTCACGTGAAGAAGTGCACTTTGAATCCTGTCTTTAATGAATCCTTCATTTACGATATCCCTGTTGATCTCCTTCCTGACATCAGCATTGAATTTCTAGTTATCAATTTCGACCGTACCACGAAAAACGAAGTGGTGGGACGGCTGATTTTGGGAGCGCACAGCATTACTGCAGGTGGTGTAGAACACTGGCGAGAGGTGTGTGAGACTCCTAGAAAGCCAGTTGCCAAATGGCACAGCCTGAGCGAATACTAGCAGAGGTTGCAGCAGCGACAGCTGACTCGTAGAACAGACTTAAACCTTGTTTTAGCTGTAGAACTAAACTTTCATAAGAAGCAGCAGCTGATTGGTTCTCTAGTGATGTGATTTTGCAGGGCACTAAAATTCTAAAGAGCATTAAATGAAAAAAAAAAAGATATCACAAATATATATAACAGTGTAATCACGCTATTGCATGCCTAATACAAACTGAAATTAGTATAACTACCAATATCAAGTTGCAGATTTTAATACAGTTATCTGTCACTATGGAAGTTGTGTTTGTGCCGAACTGTCTTTGCTGGTATTCACCAAGATTGGCCTGTCTTTATTAGGCTTCTCCCAAAGTTTCTGAATTCTGCTGTTTAACCGCTAGTTTCTTGTTAGTTTGCCTGCACATTGGTTCTTGCAGTTCTGTTCTTCACTGGTTTGGGAGTAGCAACCGCATTAGAAATCGCAGTGTAAAGGTGGTTTAGAATTCTGCACTTGCACAAAAGGAAAATACAGGGGAAAATGGCACTTTCCTTCAGAGAATAAATAATTCTGTTGTCAGGTACTGAAATACTTGTGGTTTGGATGTACTTCTTGTGGAGCTATAACACCACAGCATCAAAGATTTGCATCTAAAATTCAAACGCCAACAAACTGATCATGTTGCTTTTGCCACATGAAGTTAGCACAGGCACAAGCTCATGGACTGTCACAACTGGCGAAACTCTGCTGTTTCATTTGATTTAACCCTGTCTGTGCATGAAGGGCCCAAAAAAACCCCAAATCTGACATGTCATTTATTGGTAAGGAAACTTGCTGATTCTTTTAAACATTAAATGTGAAATTCTACATGATTGCTAAGTTCTGTTATAACAGTGTAACATTGGAAATAGGAAAATATCTTGGGGGAAGAGGTTTTAAGTGAAAAAATTACAAAGCTTCCCTTCATTCACACTTGAGTCAATTTGCATTATACATCATCTTCTCAGTTACCTAAGAGCCAGCTCTTGAAAAAGGACTAAACATGGGCAAAGCCTGTCACCACAAATGGTGTCAGACACTTCAGGAAGTTCATTTTCAGCATTTCAAGGCAGCTTGGGCTAGTTCTTAAATTGTGAATGACTTCTGAGACTTGGGAGATGCTCACCATCACCTCTGAAGTGTAGAAATGGTACTTGGCCAGTGTGACCTGTAGCACTTTAGGCTATTAACCTTGAATAGTAGTTTTGAACAGAAGTTCATAAGTTCCACGAATACAAGTTTGGAAGTTGCTGCACTAGATCTCGTGGTGAAGACATGAGCCTCAGGACAGGACCAGGTTCCGTACATGACGGCAGCGTCCTGGCAAGGAACTCCATTTGGCTTCTAATTACGTTCAAGCCAGGAAAGATATAAGGATGATAATTGGCAGCAAATAATTGATTGTAGACATTGTTGGTAAACTGAGCGGAAATAGTTAAAACAGGCTGCAGAAATTGCAAGACTTTCTGAACTCTCCAATGGCAACCTGAAGCAGAAGTGAGCGTGCAAAGAGGCACATAGAAGACTGCAAATTTTCAGTAAACGTTTAGTTGCTTCCGGGCAGCCAGTTTGTTCTGTGCCCCATGGAATGTAAATAATGTATCATAATTTAAAAAGTTAAAGATCATTGAACTACTTACAGGACTTGAATACTGAATTTTAGAGCCCTGTTGGAAAAAATGATCCTTTCCACCTTCACCATAATGACAGTAGAATAATTGAGTCTTACTCGGTTTTCACTCCAGTCGCCACGTAAAGTGGGAACTGATGGGAGGGCTCTTCATGCGAACAGACAGCACTTTGTTATTTGGCAATAGTTTGGCATCTCTTCCATCTCTTCCATCTCTTATTTTTGGAAAGCCAAATTTTCTCACTCATCACTAATTATTCAAAATTCCTTCCAGGCAGAGTGTCTTTCTAGCACCAGAAGTGGCGTGGCGGCTGCAGCTCTCTATCCTCAACCCTGTGTGGCAGACGGAAGCATGGACTTTGTTCATGCTCTGTCAATCCTGTTTCCCAGGATTTCTGCCCAAGGCTGTAGTTGATTTTATCTTTGTCTTCAATGCTTTCTCGCTCGTGCTCTAGCAGTGGCTCACAGCCACAGACCGGAGAACGGGTTCTCCCTTGTAAATTGATGTAGCTCTATTTCAATCCTAGTTTTTGCACTAAGCAATTGTGTTGCTGAGGTTTAGCAACTGTCACGACTTTTCCTCGGAACGTGCTTTCCAACACCGCTCCAAACAGGCCCTCCAAACAGTAACAACAAAGTTCCCTTTTTTCCCTTCGGTGTGAAAAGCATGCGTAAGCCTACATGGTCTTAAAATGCCTTTAGTTGAAAAGGAAAGATGAACTTCTTGTCAAGGAAACACGCTCAGGGTAAATAGACTTCGGCTATCGGGCAGATAGGAGTAGCTCCAACACTCTTCTGGAATGATAAGAAACTGAAGATGTGCAGATATATATATATTTTTAAAACGTAAAATAGGCAGTAAGTGACAGCGGACTCACTGTAAAATCTCCCAGGTGTGGTTATTCTTTACCTTGTGTCTTCTATTGTAAAATTAACTTGGACAGTTACAACTTTGTGTGGAAAAAAAAAAAAAGAAAAAAGAGGCAAAAAAACCTAACTCAACATGTGTGAAACTGCATAATGCTATAAGCTCATCTACATTATGTAATGCTACCTTGTATGTTGAATTTGTTAATGCACATTGAGCGTGCAAATAAAAATTAAATCACTTTAGCTGCTGACTCTGCCATGTTTGACCGGAGGCAATACATACATGACTATACTGAACACTTTAAGATTTGTTTATAAAAACATGCATTTCTGCTCTGAGAATTCACAGGAAAAGCACACGCTAAAGAAATCTCAAAGAAATAAAGGAACATAACAGAATCCTGGCAAATTAAATATAACCCTATTACTTCATCATGAGCACATACAAAAACTCTCAGGGATCCTACCCGGTGTTATGATTGGGTCTAATTTGGCACAAATGGGAATTCATTAGCTAAGTTGGAGCCAAGTGAAAAAAGATGGGCAGAAAAAGCAGCCATTTGGCTATAACATGTAACTTTGAGGCATTCCTGGGTCAAAGCAGAATTCTCTGGGAATGCTGTTGTCCATCTTGCTCTGGGCTGGGTGCAGTCTCTCTCTCTCTCTCAAAGTTCCATAATCTGCCTTCTCTGGCTTGTTTTTCTCCCTCAGCTCCTCCTCCGCACTGCCCTGAGCAGCCCCAGCAGCACCGGGCACCGAGCCACCTCTGCAGAAAATGCCAAATAGTCCCTGGCAGGAGCTGGGTTTCCCCAGTGACATGGGCTGCTGCAGCCCCTGGGCGCCGTGCTGCGCCCTCCGGGACAGCGAAGGGCCGGGCTCCAGAGGTATCTCAATACTTAAAACGAGCTTCAGGTTCTTGTCTTCGAGGAACCAGAGGGTGTCACAGCCCAAGCTGTATGAAAAGGTATCCCCATGTCAAAGAAGAAGGATAGGCTGGTGCTGCAGCTCGTCACACCAGTGGTAAGGACGCTGTGGGCTGCCTGGCCCCCCCCAGCATGGAGCAGCCCCTCCGCAGCCCCCGCCGGCCTCCTCTGCTCCAAACACACCGTAGCTGATGCTAAAAACCCACTCTCTCCAAATTTGCTCCGGGACAAAGATGAAAACAACCAAACTGCACCAGACACTGGTCCCTGGTTCTCCAGAGACGTTCTGTGATGGTTTGAGGCACCCACAACGATTTAGTGTCATTCAGACAATTATTCTCTCCCCTGATGACCCCTCCCCACCCAGGAAGGGGAATCGGGGAAAAACAAGGAAACACAAGGGTTGTAATATAAATAGATTTAATAGGTTAAGACTAAATAATAGCAATAATACCAAAGAACCAGTATTGATCTTGATACCAATATAAAACACACCAGGACTGTCTCCAGCCCGTTCCCCCAGCAGAAGCCGTGCTCTCCCCGCAGGGACAGCCCATGTGGGACCCTGCGAGCGCTGCGGCTTCGGGAGGGAGGGAAGGGCTCAGGGCTCCGGCACCGGGGCAAGGAGTTCTCAGAGAGAGAGAGCTCCTCGGGAAACTTTCTAATTCCTATTGATTGTGCCGTTTGTGATATGAAATAACCCTGTTGGCGGCTTGGGTCAAGTGCCTGGGTCTCACTCCTCCTCATCCCTGCACCCGGGGAGCTCAAAAACACTGAGACCTTGTGGGGACACCAGAGCTGGCTGTAAATATTTTTACGAATTCAGACTCTAGAGTCTTCTAAAAGCACAGTTTTCCCAAGCATTGGAAGAGAAATGAATTCTGTGTCTCTCAAACCAGGACACATTCTGAGCTGTTTGAGCAGCACCGAGGAAGGAGCCTGACCTGACTCCTGCTCTGGTGGGTCCATCCCACGGAATCGCTCAGCGGTGGAATGAGACTTGGTGCCAGACACACAAAAATACTGAAAGCCACTGGGATGATGCAGATGGTGATCCACGTGGCTTGTGCATCCATTTGAATTTGGTGCCCAGTGACTCAAGACACGGTGGTGTATTTATTTAACCCCTCTGCTCACCACTAATTACGTTGCTCTCTGGACCGGGACCGAGGGCAGTGTTGAACCACTCTCAGTTATTTCTCGTGGTAACAACTGCAATTATTAGAGCAGTTGGCTAAAACTGCTCAGCCAAAGCGCACAGTTGCCAATTATTTTCTACTTATTGTGCAAGATGTGAAAGAAAACTCTCTCTTCATCCTTCTCTGCTTGGCTTCTGCATCCAATGCCTTAAAAACCCTGACGGTTCTTCCACCATTCAGCTGAAATAGAAACAAAAGAATTTGCATAAGAAAAAGAAAAAAAGGCAAACAGAATGGGTTTGACAAACCATGGAAAAAGAAACGGTTTTGTGGAGAGCATGGAAGCTCCGTTCTTACTCCCTTCCCACCTTCCTTGGGGCCGGGTGCTGGGGCCCTTTCAAGCAGCAGGACTTTGCGCTGCACAATTGGGTCCTTCCTCTTCTGCCTCACCCCGCTCACCGGACGAGCGAGTCGTGTTGCCACAGCAATGCCATTCACGGTCCATGGCAGGGCTCTTTCCATATTTCTTTTGAGCAGGAATAGTTCTGTCTCATTTCCGAACCCCAAATCCACCGGACTGTGCTTCAGGGAAGCAGCTGCGGGTCCCTCCGCAGGGCTCCAGAGCGCCCTAATTTCACCCTCATTAAAATGCAACAGCTCGAGCATTCAACGACTCCTTCCAATAGTCAACACTCAATAAGTGTTCTCCAATAACTATTTAAGGCCAAGGGAATCCCTCTGGGAGCTGACGGCACCCGAAAGGCACCATGTGGCACAGCAAGGGCTGGGGCCGAGCTCTCGGTTTCACTTCTGCGCTACAGAAAGTGTGTGATTGCTGGGGAGACAATTCCCTGATTGGGCCAAACAGGAAACAGAACCGGAAAGGAAAAACAGGCCAAGAAATAAGTAGAACATACAGAAGTGTGGCAGAAAAGGCAATACCAAGAATAAAGGAAAAAAACCAACAAAAACCCTCAAAAAACTCCAAATGACCCTCCCCTTTACCTCTGCTGTATTGCACAGCAGTTCTACCCTTCTCACCACCGTGGATGGATCCAGATAGACGAGTCCTAGACTACATCAACATGGAACCTCTTGCATCGCCTACATCAGTGTGTTAATTCATCTGGTCCTGCAATTACTCATGAATCAGTCATAGAATAGGGGTTATTCAGCCTGGAGAAGAGGAGGCTGAGGGGAGACCTTATTGCTCTCTACAACTCCCTGAAAGGAGGGTGTAGAGAGATGGGGGTTGGTCTCTTCTCCCAAGTCACAGGCGACAGGACGAGAGGAAATGGCCTCAAGTTGCGCCAGGGGAGGTTCAGGCTGGATATTAGGAAAAATTTTTTCACTGAGAGGGGTATCAAGCATTGGAATGGGCTGCCCAGGGAGGGGGTTGAGGCACCATCCCTCGGGTTTTTTTAAAGACAGGTTGATGTAGTGCTGGGAGGTATGGTTTAGTGATGGTGATGCTTCTTGTTTGTTGTGGGGGTGTCTATTTTTGTCAGTTAGGTTGATGGTTGGACAAGATGATCTTTGAGGTCCCTTCCAACCTAAAAGATTCTGTGATTCTGTGAATCACAGAATCATTCAGGTTGGAAAAGACCCTTGGGATCATCGAGTCCAACCATCAACCCTACTCTACAAGATTCTCCCCTACACCACATCCCCTAACACCACATCTAAAAATGTCATCTCAAAGGGCTCCATAGCCACTTCAGGACATCCTGTCAGCGCTAAAGAAAAGCACCCAGTGGTTGGAAAAGAAAAGCCATGAGCAGTGTACCCAAATGCCATGAGAGTGTGGGGGGCGTGTTGCCCCTCCCCACCCCCTCAAAGGACAGGGCAGGGCTGGGGGAGGAGGGCGACGGTCCAAGACACAAGGACACTTTCTTTACAGCTGGGGCAGGTGCTTTTCTGCACCCTGAAAAGACTAAAAAAACACAGGCAAAATTATTTGGAGAACATTCCATTTACATCACCTTGACTTGGAAAAAATTAACCAAGCAAGGTAAGTTCTCGCCAGGAGCTCAGCGCCCAGATTCCTGGCCCTGGACAGAATGTTAATTTACAGCCATAAAAATTCAGACTTTGGGTTACATCCCAAAAGCCAAAGTATAAAAGCTAGTCCGATTCCTTCCTGCTAACAAATGTAACGAGGCGAACAGGAGTTCAGCAAAGTGTCAACAGAATATTACACTCTTAAAAGAATGAATTACAACACTGAGATCTAGATACTAATATCTTCTTAGAAATTAAAAGAAACATCTAGGCTGTACCTCAGGGTGTATGTTTAGGTCTCTGAAAGTAACATCAGGGGGTGTAAATGGGAGAAAAATCAACGCATTACCACACATTGCAGCACAAAGCCTGAGCTGATGCTCTCTTACAATAATATAGCACTAACTGTTGGGGGAAAAAAAAAAAAAAAGTTTGGGAATGGTGGGGAAAAAGGTATAGAAGGATTGAATGGGAAAAGTGCCCAGACCAGACAGAAGAATCCACTAGAAATCCTGTGTAGAGTATTGCCTAATCATATTGGATGCTGCCAGATTGAATCAGTGTCTTGGCCATCACCAATCCATAGAATTATTATTTTTAAAAAATTGTTATTACTGATATTCTCTGCAGAGAACATCTGTATTTCCAAATAACTCCAACATTGTGGTCATGCAATGACTCCAGAGGAGAGCCATTCTGCCTTTCCCTACCCTGCGCCAAAGTGCTGCAATCAGTTATTTCTAATACAGATGAGGAAAACAAACAAACAAACAACAACAAAAAACCAGAACCACAAAGCAGACAAGATAAAAAGATTAAAGCAAGTTTATCTAAATATTCTTTGAGATCTCATGGCACTATTAGGCTAACTATTAGCCAACACTGAGCGAAAGACTCCAGTTTGGCACATTCTCTGTGAAAAGGCAGAGGGAGAGCAACAGGCAGCTCAGGAACCTTCACCCTAAATTTACTTGCAACCAGATTTACAGAGGTGTGAAACAGCATATCAGTGAGCTGCCCGTGACCCAGACATGCAGTCAGCTGGTGTCTACAAAGTATTTTGGTTCATTTGTGTGAACCTCATGAGGTTCTACAAGGCCAAGTGCAGGGTCCTACACGTGGGTCAGGGAAATCCCAAGCACAGACAAAGGTTGGGTGGAGAATGGACTGAGAGCAGCCCTGAGGGTTTTGGGGACTTGGGGGTGCTGGGGGGGTGAAAAGCTCAATGGGAGCTGACAATGTGTGGTGGCAGCTCAGCAAGCCCCCTGGGCTGCATCCCCAGCAGCGAAGGTGGAGAATGGACTGAGAGCAGCCCTGAGGGTTTTGGGGACTTGGGGGTGCTGGGGGGGTGAAAAGCTCAATGGGAGCTGACAATGTGTGGTGGCAGCTCAGCAAGCCCCCTGGGCTGCATCCCCAGCAGCGAAGCCAGCAGGGCGAGGGGGGGGATTCTGCCCCTCTGCTCCAGCTCTGGGGCCACCAACAGCAGAAGGACATGGAGCTGTTGGAGCGGGGTCAGAGGAGGCCCCGTAAGGGAAGACAACGACACCAAAGCCCCAAAGGAGCCTACACCCAGCTGCTTTCTACTAGTACAAAATGAGAAAACATTTTTTTTTCAAGCAAGTTAAGCATTTTCTGAAGTAACTTAAATAACCCATGAGCTTTCCTTCTTCAGTGCTCTCAGGCTGAAGACCCTTGTACCCACTGTGCCAGACACCACAGGTTAAAACATCAGATGCAAACCTTTCTATTAAAAACCATATATTGTGTCAAATAAAACAGTAATTCTGTGTACAAATTTATACATGACAAAAATAGAACTCTTTGAATAACACTGTGTAAAAAAAGTGCTTGCTGCTGTTCTGATGTAGCAATTCTATAAGCAACAGGCTCACAAAAGGCATTAGTAAACATTTCAGTGGCTTGGAAGGAATCCTGTAAGGCACAGACATCAGTTATTTCAAGGTGGGAAGAGTCCCAGAGAGCTCTCAGTACTGCTGACGGGTTACCCTTAATCATCTGAAAAATCTGAACGCGGGAATACTTTAACTTACGGCATCAAGGGAAAGCACAGGGAGAGCCTGTCATGGCCTCAGGCCCTGCTCAGCGCATCCGGGAGGCTGTTCTGAAAGAGTTTCTATGACAGAATCAGCAACTACTTTTACAGCAACTTCTGAACCATTGTCCCTGCCTTCTCCTCAAATTTTCTGTGAGATGGCTTTCATCTGAGGTACAGACAACATTTAATCAATGATTAGAGGACTTACAGTCCTAAACCAGTAAATACTGAAAAGACATGCGAACTGCTCTTAAATTCTAAACAATATGAATTTTTCTCAGCCTTTTTCAAACACACACATATGATTATTACCAGTGTAGTGTATAGCACTTGAGCACTGAAGTGAGAAACAGAAACCCATTTAAATGTTTAGCTCAGCCACCAACAAAATAAAAAAAAGTGTAACGCCCTCCAAATTTCTTGTTATAATTTGTTTTTTTTTAAAATTCTACACAAAGAAAATACTCTTAAAACCAACAGGCACAGAATTTCCAGTCATATTTTAAACAATAAGGAGCTTAGCAAGAAAAAAAAAGCTTAAGCTGATATATTTGCTATTCTTGCTTCATGTACTAATCCTTTTACATGTGAATTTTCAGTTTTGACTGCACGATGACATGCAGCACACTAAGACGGACAGTACGGATCTGACTTTTCATCAGCAAGATTAACAATTACTGGCACAGATAATGGCTACACTACACTTAGTCTATTAAGCTACTTCGCTCTTAAAGATTCTAGGCACTTAGTTCTCTGAGAAGCTTGATTTAACCGTGTCTGAGTTACTCAACTATGGTTTGTTCTATTATTAAAAAACAAAATCAAGAGGAACACCAGACATCTGTCTCTGTTAGATTTAATTCTCGAACTGATGCGTATGTAAATCAGCTCAAAAGCAGAGAGTATCTCTGCGTATGGAGGGTCTGCCTCAGCAGCATTTTCTTAACCAAATCCTTCCTTACAGAGCATGAGAGCTGTCCCTGCAGTGCCTGGAGCGCCCCGTGGCCAGGTCAGGGATGGGAGCGTCTGTTGGAACGGTCACCGTGCCCACCAAAGTGCTTCCTTCCTCTGCTCTGGCAATTCTGCTTCTAAGACTGCCCCAGAGGAATCTTACCAGTACTGGGGATATTTGCTCTGAGCCCAGGTAACTCAGTATCAGTCATTTTCTCTATAAAGGAGTTATCATAGAATAATTTGAAATTACTATGTTAGAAACTTCTACTTCACAAAGATACTGGCTCCTTTAAGAAATAACATACAACTGAAGGTAAATAAATAAGCCAGTACACCGTTACATCTATGGTTTTTAAGCAACAAGACAGAAAACTCAAAGCTGTGGTTTCTACAACATCATTACATGACACCTGCTGTGGCAACGCAGTAAATGCTATATACAGTAGGAAAATGCTACATATTTGTGCATATTTGGCACTGTTGCCAAGTTACAGCTGCCATAGGAACCATGATTTGCTTTTTCTGACTTGTTTAGAATCCCACCTACAACACTGCTGGTTAGCTGATAATTTAGATAAACTTGTACAAGTATTCCATGTTACTTTTGCTGGAAAGAAATCTGTTCAATGAGAACACAAGAACTCTAGCACAGCTCCGTTCAATCACGCCTGCACACAGCCAAGGCTGCGAGTCGTGACACACACTCTGTAAACTTCTCTTCAGCGCGACCTCAACAAGTCGCCTCTCATGATGTGGGTTACTGTTCCAGAGAGCAGCAACACTTTCTTGTGCAAACAACTAGGAAAAAAAAATAAGTTAGGTTGGGTACTTCAGCAATATTTTACACAATTCAGCTTCCAGTACGCAGCGACTGAAAACAAACATGGAAAAGTGCAGGGACATAAACCTTTCAGCATTTGTAACCAATGACATACAAGCAACATTTGCTGGATCCAGTAAAAAAAATTATAACAGAAGTGTAACTGTGACTGTGTCTTAAGTTAAATATCCAAAATGAAGGGAATATAATTCTGAAGAAAAATAATTGGTAAAAGTTAAGCATTCCCTTGGAGAAGTCCCATCGGGTTTAAAACATGCTGTCAAGACATTGTCACTAAACTGCTTTGGTTACAAATGGCTGTTCACAGGTTTTATTTTGCAGAGGAATTCTCTCTGTTCAAGTGACTGAATCCTTCTTCCTTCTAAAAGGTGACTTCAGTCTTTTCCACATGCTGCTTTTAGGTTTTGATTTCCTTTCCATTGCCATTACTGCTTCTTTCTCTTTCCTGCGGATTTCTCGCACGAGAGCGTGAAATACATCATCGATATAGTAACGGTATGCAGCTGAAGTTTCAAAAAAAGGGCAGTTGAATTCTCGTGCTAAAGCAGAGCCTTCTTCTTTAGAGACCTGGAAAAAAATGTTCACACTTGGTAAGAAAGCTAAACCCGGAAAGTCTATTTCTTTATCATTTCTTGTTCTAATGGCTCTGTAACTGTGCATGCACCCTCCCCGGTCTTTAACAGCGTATTTCCACTCATCTCTAAATCTCTCTCTACAAAACCCTTTTCCTTTCTCTTTCACTCATTGCTTCTCCAGCAATGCCAGACATTCATGAAACAACAAAGTCCTTCTGAAATTCATCTAATTCCAGCACCTCTGGAACTTGTTTTCCCAAGTACGTTTCCTTTGAGTGAAGCTGTGCTTCCAACTGTTTTCCCACAAGATGGTAATCACTGCTTTCTTGAGCTGAAAGTAATGTTCTTTTCTGTCCATTCTTATCCACGTTCTCCATTATTATGCCTGTTCATAGCATGCTTGCATCTGTAATTTATACTAATATCTGCAAGTGTTTTATGGAACGCTAAGTCTCTATTAACAGCATCTCCTTTCAGGAATTAGAAAAAAAAGAAGAGCCCAAGAGCAGTTGAAACCCAAATCATCAACCTGTAGACTGTACTTTTATGATTGCTTTACACATTTGGGTATTCAATGCATCCTGGGTTAAACAAGTACTTCTCTACAGTTCTACTAATTATATAGTAAACATACAAAAAATTAAGAAAGGGAGTATAACCTCTTGTATTACTGCATTTTACAACAGAAATAGCTTGCAATTTTGAGTCTTTTTTGTGCCATTTACCTGCCGTAGCTGTGTCAGATCAGATTTATTCCCCACCAGGACCACAGGAGTGTCATCAGTGCGTCGAACACGATAGATGAGCTGTTTGAATTCACGCACTTCGTGGAAACTGCGCCGGTCTGTGATTGAGTAACAGATGATAAATCCCTCACCAGCCCTCATGTACTGGTCTCTCATGGCCGTAAACTCTGCCTAGAAACAGACAATTACATTTCAATTGCACAAATGCACTCCACAATGACTTTATAATTTTCTCAGAATGGGAAACACAACATGCATTCCAAAACCAGCTGCACAGAAACTATGTAAACTAGTCATCTATCTCCTCCTCCTGTTACATACAGGACAAAATACTACGTAAGTTTGAGAATAACACCAAGCCACAGAAATCACACCAGCCAGTTATTTACCAGCCAGTAAGTATTGCTGGTTGATCATGAACAGCAAGATGCAACAGAGAGAGCAGTGCATGAAACCAGAGTACTTAGTGCAGACCGTGCGGTACAGATGCTACAAGCGACATGATGCTTAGAAGAAATGAGACCTCAAAACCCAAACTAGAAGGTAAGACAGGCATACTTTTACAGGATTTCTGTCTCTACACCTGGCCATTACAGACTTCCCAACATCATCCTAATTCACTCTTACATACCTGTCCTGCTGTGTCCAAGATATCCAGATTGGCAGGTTCGTCATCAATGCGTATTCGTATTTTATAAGCATCCTCTGTGAATTCACCACATGTTGAAAAGAACAAGACCGGAATACAATTGCAATACTCATTAGTCATCAATTCACAAAGGGAATATTACACTAGAAGAACTTAATTTGGCAATATTATTATGCCACATTAGCCTGATCTTTGTTTAAAAACAAATGATTTTTTTAATTGTTCTGGTGTGATTTAGTATCCTCCAAACTGTTTGCTAAACTTATGCTATTGTACATTCTACTTTTGAGAGACATGTGACCACAACCTATAAATTCACTTTGGACACCTTGGTAGAAAGCACACAGTAAAAGAGCATTACAATTTTCTCAAAGCCAGAAAATACCTGTGATTCAAGAGAAGAACTGGCCACCACCAACTGCCGTTCTCTTAGAAGATAGACAATAAATATTCTGTCCCTCTAAGTCAGCACTCCTACACTGTAACAGTTTGCTTTCAATGAGAAGCTGGCTGTTATTCTCACTTTTCCTTTGATAGTGTAACTGTTGGTTGAGATTCCTCTTAGAGATGCTGTAAAAGTTATGTAGCAATATAATAAGTCATTAAGCACTTTCATCCCTCCCAATTTCTAAAATACAGAGCACAATTTGGCCGGACAAATTAATAGCAGAGCTGATCTGCAGCATAGAGACTAGACTTGTTGAAGAGACAACTAATAATCACTTATCAACATTTTTTCATCCTTCTCTGCCAATGTACAAACATGTATAGACAGCACATGGCCTGAATATGTGTGACAAGAAAGTCATTAAAGATCTAAAACTCAGGATATGTACCCCAGTCCTCACAGCAGTCTCAGAACTCTTAATATCTTTAAGTGAGTAATTTTAGATTCTCAATTTACAGCCAAATCTTGAAAACAATGGACTTGAAAACAATGGACTCCACAGTAGCTTAACTTCTAACAAAGGGAGCAAAGAGAGATTTTTCTTACCGATTGTGGGATCGTGATCCTCTGGAAACCGGTGGCTGATGAACTGCATGGTCATGGCTGAAAGCAAAGATCAGAGACACAATTGCACAAGTGGAGGCAAACATCTGTAAACATCTGCAGCCTCAGCGCTCACCCTGCTCGAGCACACCGTTTCACTGACAGCTAAAACATAAAACCGTGCTCGGTGTAGGACTCGAAAGAAAGGCGGCAGATGGAGTAAGTCAAATAACTCCGAGAACTACGCCCTCGTCCTGAGCAAAACGCGCCGTTCGCAGTTTCACAAACAAAGCCGCCCGCGGCCGGAGCCGGTGACACCCCGGGCGCGGGGCAGCGCCCGAACGCGCGTTCCGCCACCGGGCGGCTGCCCA